TTTTATTAGAGTAAGAATTTATAGAGTACATTTTATCTTTAAAGTGCCTTAGCAAACATTATTTTTGCAATAGTGTTAAAAGGTAGCATTATCCACATTTTCTAAGATGGTTCCTGAGAAACTAAGGTTAACTGGTTTCCACATAGCTATAGATGGGATGATGTTGGTCAGGATTAAAGTTTCTCATTTTATCTTCACTGTAGACTATTTTTCACATCCTAGAGGAAGAACTGAGCCTTGTAGTGGATTTTTTAAAGTTCCTCAAGCAGAAAAAAGAGTAATGATCTTAAGATGCTTTTAGTATATGTAAAGGAAAACCCAAGAGAAGACAGAGAGGATCAGAAAGGGTAGAGGTGGGATTGAGGACCTGGATGCTGATACATCCTCGCGACGTGCAGCAGGCTGAGGGGTGGGTCTGAGGAGGTCAGCTGCACAGACTGAAGGCTGAGAGGGTGCACACTCTGGCGAGTTATCACAAGCTGAGTGTAGATAAGATAATTAAGCAAATGTCTGTGTTTATGCAAAGAGGCTGTTTAACATATTAATAGATGTTAATTAAATAAGTCAGCTCTTGTTTATAAATCACTAATTAATTTCATTCCTTTACAGAATGTGCTATGGAGATTTAAATTCTCTCAGCTTAAGGGATCTTCAGATGATGGAAAAACTCGAGTCAAGCTGCTGTTTCAAAATCTGGACACCAAACAAATTGAGATGAAGGTAGGGAACAGTTTGTTCTGCAAGCCAACCCTACGTGCAGTAAAACTCAAATGGCCAGCTGGGAAAAACTCCCGTTCCTCCCCTGCATACGTAAGTCCTGAGATAGGATTTCTCCTTAAAAAACTGGGCAACAGATATGTCGAAAGAGCACCCGTTATGTTTCATATGAGAGAATTTTATATCCTAAAATTGTGATTATTGAAACAAGTTACTTGATTCTACTAAAATTCGCACAGTTTTAGTGAATATTAGGAGGAAATTAATATTTGAAAGTAAACCAGAAGTCAAAATTTAAAGAAAGAGTTTTACAAACTGAATTAAGTATATGATGAATTGTTCCTAATAGTTTGAACTTACTGCTCTGTTAATTAAAAGGATCTTAGATATGGCTTTCAAATTTGTTGCATTGATGTGCCATTTTACTAGCAACAGGTATTAAATTTTCTCATATTTTATGCATAAATGTGTTGTTAGCAGACCACTTTTCATATAAACTAAAGATAAACTTTAGTCTGAAAGCCTAAATTTAGTACATTGAGAAATAAATAAAAAGAGGAATGTGAGAACCATGAACTCATATTGTTTGGAAACAGAAATCAACACTTTGCATGAATGTTTTCTGATGAAATTTGTCCTGGCACACATCGCACCTGGCATTGTTATCTGTGAATGTTTAGAGTCAATTTTCATACTTTATTGAGATGCGTGAATGAATGATTCATATCTACTTGTTGAGTACAATAGAAACTGTACAGGCTGCCTGACATTCTGATGTTCTGGGAACTGACAGAAGCAAAATCTGAGTGTAAGCACGGTCAAGGCTGTGGGCATGTGAGGGCCACAGAGGGGTGGGATGAGACGCTGGTCCTGGCACCGCCCGTGGAGCGCTGGCTTTGGTGGGGGGTGTTGGCCAGAGGTAGGGAGGAGCGTCATAGCCTTTTCTTGTGTTAAGTCCTGTAAACTTCTTAATCCCACTCTGTGTGAGATCTTGGGAGTTCACCAGGGGTCTTGAGGGTTTTATGCTTAAGGGCATCCCAGTGACTTCCTCCAGAGCACTGCTTGTCCCCAAGGCACATGCTTTGAGGAACAGCCAACTGCTTATATGGCATCTGAAATATCCTTTTGTCAGGTGACCCCTGTTTCATTAGGGTTAAAGTATTTATTTTCTATTTTCTGATGATCAGCCAACTTTTGGTTATGTGTGTTAGTAAAGGGAGTAGAGATACTAGATCATCTGGAGCAGACAGTTTTGAAGCACATTAATCCGGGGGCAGAAGCTTTGCAACAGACTTGACTGCTCTGTGGTGCTTTGTTTGGATCACATCAGTTTCCATTGTCAGTTGGTGGAAGACAGAAAGCCCTAGAAAGTTAGCTATAGAGGCCACAGGTATGGATGCAGAATTTG